TACTGATCTATGGTATTAAAAAAAATTGACCTATAATGAATTCCAAATTAATCATATCACAATATCCATTAGGTAAACCAACAACAAACCCTGATACTATCATAGATATATAGTAGTATACTTTAGAAGTTTCAATTACCTACGAATAATATTATACAATCACCACAAAATAACTAAAATAGTTATTCTAGGTTTTTTATTATGTAATTTCGTCCAAATTTGAACTTAAAATTACTATAAAAAAAAATTGTGCTATGTATTTTTTATATTTTTCAACTGATATTGTAACAATATATCAGGAGCCTTGTATTACATTTTTACACTTTTTGGACCAACAGGTATAACTTTATTGATATTTATAGAAAAAAAAAACTAAACAAATTGAAAACTGTAAATGTCCGTAAACAGCTCAAAAAGATTCAAAATATTTTCAAAATTGTATGGTGTATAGGAAATGCTAATATAAACATTCAGTGAAATTTTCATGTATCTATAATAATTCGTTTTTGAATTACAACAAAATAAGGAAATCACTACATGAGAAATCGAGTGAATATCCAATGTTGTAAACATTTGAATTTCAAACGCTCATAAAAATTTAATTTGACTTTCTTATAGACATTTATTTCTTGATAAAGGCAGATAATCTTATAACGAATCTTGTATTACATTTTAAAATCTTAGATTTAAATAGGACAATTTTTCAGGTTCAGGTGGAAGGCATAAATTAGGATATAATTCCTTAAATTTTAGTAGGTACCCACTATACTATAGGAGCTTTAGAAATACATATTTTTTTACAGTCGCGATTAATGAATACACTAATGGAAAACAGTAATCTAACTAAGAACTAATTAACAGTAATTCGGATAAAAAGTTGTTGGAATTATTTCAGCTTTAAGACTATATACGGAGGAGTCTGGAGCATCCTTTAAAAACAAAAAACCGTTTTTGTAATTTACCTACCCCTTGTGGCCATAGCAATCAGAAACAACAATTTTATTTCTAGTGAAGAATGTTTAACTGAACAGCCTATAACTATTAGGTAGGTATAAGTGGATGCGGTGTATTGCAGACCCCTCGGAGTGAGTACGTAATTACGAATGTTTTATCTTACTTACTTGTAATGTTATATTAACTGCAAATTAAGCAGAGGCGTTCTCAGGATATTTCAATGGAGGGGGATGAAAAAAATGGTTTCAAAATAAGCCGTAAGGGTTTTGCCTCACAACTCCCATATTATAATAATGAATATTAAAAAAGCGGGTAAGTGGATGTCGCTCTGCTGTACAGTAGATTACAATAGTTGGTCACTGTATAATGGATTGTATTAAATTTGAATTCAATGAAATCATATCATTGTATACAAAAAAACGATTCTGAGCGGGAGACGGTTTGTCAGTCTGGATATTTTATATTGTAATTATATTTTATTATAGCCTGTAAGTTGAATTAATATTATAAATTACGATAAAATAACTAAAATCATTATTTTTATTTTATTTGTTACTATGGTGATAAACAAAGTGTTAGAAATTGAAATCACATTTTTAGCGGTTTTTGAAATTTGACATTGAAATTGTAATGTGTCATTAAATAAATATTGAGAAAATTGAAAAATTACCTCTCTAAAGTACCATCTTGATAAAATTTGCTACAAAGAAAAGATATACTATATGTTAAAAGCGAAGAACTCCTTCTGGTAGAAATTTTGTATGCAGGATAAAATAAAAATAAATATAAACAATATTGAAAAACCAATAGAACCCTCACTCCGCTCAGAATCTAATAATATTGATAGTAATATAGTTGATAATATCAAATAATCGATTCAAGTCATATTTATTGTTCTTTTTATTTAAACTATACAAGAATGTTATGAATCAGTTTAAATCAGGGATAGAAAATGTTTTTAATTTTTTCGTTTTCGTTTTTGATTAACGTTTTTAAAAACGTTATTTTTCTATATTGTTTTTGATAATATTGTTTTTTTTTATAGTAGTAAATTTAGCAATTTAGAAATGCACTTAAGAGTTAAAAATTAAAATTAATTATTCTTGATTTCAAATAAAAATGTTTTTAAATTTTAATAGAGCATTGTTGGTAAAGATTAAAAAGTAAATACTTAAGTAACATTTTTTTTTTCGTGTTATAAATATAATAATGTATAATACTATAATTTATTTGCGTTTTCGTTTTTGATTTCGTAATTAATATTTTTTCTGTTTTTGGGATTTTTTGTTATGGTTTTTTGTTTTTGTTTTATTAATTGTTTTCGTTTTTTTTTCCGTTTACTAACGTTTTTTAAAAACGTTTGCCACCCCTGGTTTAAATTATTTATTTTATTTTATCACTGTGGTGTTATTATTGTGTATCTTACCTTTAAATTTTTTCTGACGCTGGGAATGGGTAAAGTTGACGGAGTGATTGTTTACAAAAATACAGTACAAATCAATTGTAAAGCGAATTGCCTGTTATATGTTATAATTATCAGTGATAAATAATAATATTGTTTATGACTGGTGGAATCAATAATCACGATAAAGAAAAATTGCAAAAAAAAAAAATAAAATAATAACTACCAAGTCAATATTGAAAACACAAACACATATCAAAAGTAGACAAAACGTGTATTACTAATATGTAAAAAAATAAAGAACCTTGGGGGGGGATCTATCCCCCATATCCCCCCCGTGAGAACGCCCATGAAATTAAGCATTTGAAGTTTTTTGACTATAACTTCCAAATGAATTAAGAGCGAATTTTTTTGAAAGTACCATAAAATTAAGCACGCAAAAACACACATTTAGAAAAAAAAACTTTTATGAATTCTTAACTCAAAATAATTTGCTAATTTTCGTGATATTTGCGTATTTTGTCGAGTTGAACTAAGGGGCCTCTCTACTGCCTTCAATTTTAGCTGAAAAGACCTAAAGGCTAAAGTATTGACAAAATTAAAGTTAGTTAACGTTGTCCGATTTTGATTCTGAAAAAAAATTTGAACTCACCAGAAAATTGTCTATAGATCCTACCAAGCACTTTGTAAATATTACATTTTATATTATTGTGAATTGTAATTGAATACTTAAAAATATAAACTTTTTCGAATCATCGTTAAAATTAAAATTGATATTAAAAACGGAAAATGTTTCGTACGATCTACAGACATTTTTCTGCTGAATTCAAATATTTTTTCAGAACTAACACATAGATCCCGGTCGGCAATGACAAGATTAGAAATTGCCGAAATTTTGCCCCTTCAATAATGACAGTGGGGAGGCCCCTTAAAATATGAGGGGGGGCTAATATTTTTAACATCAATGTGGTGCTTTTATCCACCACAACTGAAAAACTGTCTACAAGAAAATCAAATTAAATTTTTATGAGCGTTTGAAGTTTATATTTTTACAATATTGGATATTCACTCGATTCTTCATGTAGCAGATTTGTTATTTTATTATTATTGAAAAACGAATAACTGTAGATACATGAAAATTTGACTGAATGTTTATATTTTCATTTTCCATACACCATAAAATTTTGAAATTATCTTGACTCTTATTGAGCTGTTTACGCCCGGACATTGTAAGTTTTAAATTTTTTTAGTTTTTTTTCTATAAATATCAATAAATTTTTATTTGTTGGGTTTATACGTGAAAATGTAATGCAAGGCTCCTGATATATTGTTACAATAGCAGTTGAAAAATATAAAAAATACATAGGCACAATCTTTTTATAAAAGCATTTGAAGTTTGAATTTTGACAAAATTTATCAAATTTATAATTTAATAATTATTTTGTAACTGGATACCATGTCTCCAAGCTGGTCGAATTATTGATTTGTATATAGTAAGTTTATTTTAAAGGGAAAGTTTGGATTTTAAGAGTGGTCTAAGGATATGAAGTCTAGAGTTAACAGTTTTGTGTTTAAGTTTAATGTGTGGGCTCCAAGTTAAGCGTTTTTCGAGAGTTAGCCCAAGGTATTTAACTTCGTTTGCCTTAGGAATTGTTATATTGTTAAACGTGACAGGTGGTGAATCGAGATTACATAGTGAAGAAGTTACTTGAACAGATTTAGTTTCGTTTATTTTGATTTTCCATCTGTTTGCCCACAAGCTGATCATATTTAAATGGTTTTGGATCATTTCACTGGTTGTGACGTGGCTTTCGTGGGAGGCGGTTATTAGCGTGTCATCAGCGTATGTGCCTAAAGATGTATAAAATTATCCTGGGTATGTCATGAGTGAAAATCGAGTAAAGGAATGGGGCGATGATGTAGCTTCATGTGGGACTCTAGCTCTAATAGTGTAACGGGTTGAGTAGGTGTTGTTTAGGCGAACAGTAAAGAAACGATTTGACAGATATGATTTTGTCAAGATGAAAAGAGGGGCGGGTAAGAACTTTTTAAGTTTGTACATTAGTCCGTCCTGCCAAACCCGATCAAAGGCTTGGGAGATGTCAAGTGTTATAATTTAAAAATATTATTCGATGTAACTAGGTTATATATAAATTACATTGTTCACAATAATATCATCAAATATTCTTAGTAATATCACAGGCTGACTGACCGTTTTCACTCTGAATTGTTTTTCTTATACCTACCTACAATGATATATCATTGAATTCAAATTGAACACCATCCATTACAGTAGTCAGTAACCCACTTGTACAACAGGGCGATACCCACTTGCCCACTTTTTTTTTTATTGAATTTAGATTTTTTGATTCCAGACTTTCAAATATTAAAATCTGACGAGATATTATTTTAGTAAATTCCAATTTCCATAATATAAAATATATAATAATAAATTCCAAAGATGATTACAAAGAGTTTGTACACCAGTGATAACATTTTTGATAAGACTTGTTTATTGTTTTAACTTTTAGCTTATCGATTAATCGATTAGCATTTAGCAAACTTCGTTACGCTTACGTTTCGCGGCATCGGTTTCGGCCTATACTTTCTTGAAGTGTAGACCGTAAAATAATAATAATATAAAATGAATGCGCCTCCAACATTTGAATCGTTTTTGCTGTATGACGGAGAAAAAAAGTGAGTTGTATTGAGTTATCTACTTGTCTATTTGATTCCCACATTTGAACATTTCTCAGAGCCGACCATATGCGCAATTTGGGTTAAATGTATGGGGGTGCTAGTATTATGTCGACTTAAGTGAATAGTTGGGGGGCTTTGCCTCCCACACCCCTCTCCATTCATAGACTTGAATTTTATACACCTTCACATTAATCTTAATATAAACAATTACCTATAACATAATATATATTATTATCTATATTATTATTCTAAATGATTAGTTCTTAGAAATAAATGTATCCCGAATACCTATGGCATAAAATTATAGTCAATACAAATTCGAAGAAGCTATTAAAAAAATGGGGGTATTAAGCATCCCCTAGCTCCCCAAATTGCGCCTATGGAGCCGAATATCATTGCGACATTGCTTTTTGAATTTTAGAATAGTCAAAGAAGTAGATACTAAAGTGACAAATGCAGCAATTTTTACAGTCAACAAAGAAGATCATACTTTGGGAAACATGATCAGGAAGTGAGTACTACTTTATTATTGTCATAGTTACCGATTATCATCATTGTGTTCATAATCTATTATTTTATTAATTTAGCCAACTACTTAAAGACCCTAATGTACTTTTTGCCGGATATAAACAACCACATCCACTGGAACATAAATTTGAACTTCGCATACAAACAACATCTGATTATACACCTCAAGATGCTTTAACTAATTCTATCACTGATCTCTTGGCTGAACTTTCTTTGTTTGAAGAACGTTTCAAGGTATTTTCTTTTAATTTTTTTACAATACAAATAGTTTTGTTTTACAATACCTTTGTAATTAAATGGTCTTCGAAGAAAAAGTCCAAAAAAAATATTTGATAAATAAAAGTTTTATAAGATAGAACTGGTTAGGTTAGTTTGTAATGCAAAATGCACGTACATGACATACATCTGTCATATCCAACATTATCTACCCTATATCTCTTTTGTTTCTGTGTTTATCACACTAATATTTCCCTACAACATTGACTTTAGATGATGTAAGAGATTCGAGTAGTAGGAAAAAGTTAGGACAATTTGTACCATAGAAAAATATTTAAAAAATACAAATTAACAAAATCCGGTATATTAGATTTTTTAACTTTTGTAATTCATAATATGTATATGAAAAAGGCATGGTTAAATTGTCGAAATTTTGATTCAAAAGCTATTGACTATAATTTATATACTATTACCTTTTATAATGTTCATAAAAATAAAAAATATTTGTAATATCATATATTTTTATATAATATTAGGTACCTATTTTAATAATGGTGTATTAACTACTATAATAATATTTTATATTTAATAATTATTTCATTTTTTTATCGGGACTTTTTGAAGTTTTGATTGAACATAATATTGTTTTCAATTATTAAAGCATATTAACAAAATACACTCTGGTGGAAACAATTTGTACCTTCCGATTCAGTATATTTAGATATAGTTTTACATTGGTTAGTTTACTTTTTCTAATAAATTAATTTTGTTATCTAAGCTTTATACGCTAGTGTATAGCTAACTGTATACATTGGCAAGTACAATTTCTACTAATATTATAATATACATTCAAATACACTTCACTTAAAACAAAACGTTTACTAAATGTCGGGAAAATACAGACAAGCTGTTAATAGTATCCCACTCTACGCAGTAGCGGATCCAGGGGTCGAATTTAAAAAAATAAATTGTCTTTTTGTTTAGCCAAATATTATCCAGAGAAAATAATGTTAAGAAGGCAGCCAAGAAGGGGACGCCCTTTTTCTCCCCCACCTCGTAACCGCCACTAGCCCCACCCGCCTAATCATCAGTACGGCAGATGTTGACAGTGCTCCCTGTGTTAATCTGTCTTCCCATACTATGAATGATTTCAAGTTACTTTTCCTTCATTGGTCTTTTATCGGCTGTTTTCTTATGACCTATCCTATTATATTGTTACATTTAGATATCACATAGAATAAAATACTAGTTATAATGATGTTATACTGAACAATATTTTGAATCATTATGTTATATAATTTTTCTGATACAATTTAAAACACCCCATATTTCCATTAAACCTAATTTATATAACTATTACAACTAACATTTATATTTATTTTTTATTTTTTCAGGAAGCTTTGAGGGAGAAAAAAGAAGGCCTTGATTAATATGATTTAATGAAGTAATATTAAATATTAATATGTAATTTTAAGGTTTTTATAATAATTATATAATATTATTATTAATAAAAAGAAAAATATAATATAATGAAATAAAAATATGTAGTTTTGAATTTATTATAATTTCTGATAATTACTTCTTGTTTCTTTGACTGGTATGTTTTTTCACGAATAAAAATAATTCAAATTGTATATGTTAAGCAGTGTTAAGCAAAATACTTTTAAAAAGTATTGTATATTGTATTTTAAAAACATGACTTTTTTCAATAATTAAAATGCTGATCAGTCATGTTTGTTCTTTTTTAGTAATAGTTACACCACTTGCACCACCAACACTGCACCATCACTATAGAGAGTTATATGTATTTGGATATCTCATACCGTTATCAATTGTCGTTCACGATAAACAATAATGATAATTGATAACCATTTTATTGATAAATATTTAGTACCATTAATTATAAATAGTTTATATTTATGAATTTTAATCAATGGCAGTACTAACAAGTAATAATATTTCCGCATAGTATAAAGTATAATTTTACAGTTAATAACAAAAGATATAAGCAATAATACTGGTACCGACTTACCTTTTTGATTGTCGTCAGCGATAAACTAAACTGTTTCCTGGAGAAAAAACATTTGATTAATCTATATGATTAGACAAAAACCGATATCAAATTGTCCATAAATAATAAATATATATATTATACCTATAATATAATTGATATAACGTTGAAGAATGACCACAACCGCAAGGTGATTTTATTTAACAAGGATTACAAATAGAAACAAATTAAAAGGAATAAAAAAAAAGTATTTCAAATACTTAAAAATAAATATTATATGGTTAATATAAAGTCTTATATAAATTTAAATTCAGTGGGGAAGATATCCTTCAATTATTATACTATAAAAAGTTGTTATTTTTTACAGAAATTTTTACATTTAAGAAATTAAATTATTAACTATTGAGTGCTGATCTGGATTGGGTAGACTAGTGATTTTTATTTTTATTTTGAAGATTGTCTTAAATGTTATATTTTATAGTGACATGTTATAAATAAATAAATGTTGTGTAATAAAAATTAGAAACATAGGTGTAATCAGAAATATTTGAAAAAATTCCATACCAATTTAGTGTTGAATTCTAATTCTGTAAGTGTCTTGTACTCTTGTGCGATGTCCATAGTTCCATATTTTAGTATCTTACTGTGTCTTTTGAGTTACTAATGTTACTATAGTTTTCAAGGGTTGATTGGAATATCTGTAAGTTTTCTGGTATAGACCTTTTAATATAATGAAAAAAAATATATGACAAAAATGGATTTTTTTGTAAAACTTCATTTGATAAATAATAAATACATATATACATTAGTACCTGTGTAGCTACTATCAAATCAACCAAAAATTAACAAAAAATACAATATTAAATTGATTCTTTAGAAAAATATAATACCTACTGTGATCTCTGGTGAAAAACGTTTTTGAATGTTAAAGAGAACTAAAGAAAAGAAGGCTTGTAAATAATAATCTGTCAATAAACAAATATCTACCTATTTTTAAATTTAGCATGTTTGTCAATTGTCACTTATATTAATTTGGATAGTTCTACAAATCGAAGGCTGCACAATTCTTATAATATGTACTTGGTTTAAATCTTAAAAATTTCAATTAGATAATAATATAATTATGTATAATTTACAGTCAGAATTATTACATTTTTTCTTTGAGTTGAAATAAATTGCAACTTCTAGTTGTATCCTTGAATGAAGTGTCATTGGACGCTCCCTTCTATCACTCAATAATGTTTACTTATTTATTTTTTACAAGATAATATCTTATTATTTGCTTATTGACTATTGTAAATTATATGAAATACGGATAAATAAATATTTAAAAATCAAAATGGAATACAATTTTAAAAATCATGACCTGATTTGTGTAAGTATAGATAAAAAGGGTGAAGGGGGATTTCTATCCAAATGATAGAAGACGTAATTCTGACTTGCAACTGCCTATAAAAAAAAAAAAAAAAAAGGTAATAGACTAAAACGTCACTAAATTGACACGAAGGCTAAAATTTGGAGTAGGCACTAGGGCACTAATTTATTTAACTGGCTAGGTATTGTGTTAAAAAAATCTTAGTAAAATTATAATTACATTGCGGCACGTATCTCTCGGTAAGTCTTTTTTTTGTAAATCACCTCGGTCAATCATTTGAGAGACCAAAGAAAGTAATTCTGTATTTAATATAAAATAAATGATGTGCCGGGTGGAAGTAATTCAGAACCAATACCTACCAAGTCTTTCGTGGTTTAAAAGTAGGTAGGTACTTAATTAAAACCTAAAAAAGGGGAAAAGTAGGTAGGTAAGCGTTCTAATCTACTGTACAGACCAGTGTAGAGTTAAGTAGAAATTGGAGTCAAGTATACGTCGTTACTACCGTCATTGCGTAGATCACTGCACTACTGAAGTAATGGCTGTGTTGCATTTGAATACAATGATAAATCATTGCATACGAAAAACTGTTATGAGCGGAGACTGTGTCCGGGCTCTCGAACTAAGTCACGAATTGCCTCCCATCTGACTCAAATTCCCTCGAGTGAATTTTTTTTAAAAAGATTACTCGAATTGCTTCCCGATTTCAAAAATATCATTCACTTGAATGGGCGATTGTAAACTCTCCCGATTTTAATGTTATGAAATCTCTCCCGGTGGTATAAACTACAGTAATACTAAATTGAATTATAAAAATAAATAAAACAATTTATATGCAGTGTGAAAAATGTCAAGAATAAAAATTTAAAAATATCAGTAAAAACAGCAGTAATAATTAATAGTAATAACAAATTATAAATAATCAACCCATAAAATTAAAAATAATTTAAGTTTGTTATTTTGTATCTTAGGTTAGTTTCAGTATTTTCCGAGGCTTAAATAATTTATTTGCCAACAATTTTAAACATTGAGATTTTGAAATTTAATTTGTGTTTAATTTATCAATTAAGTTACTAAAAAAATAATTTGATGTTTTTTGGTTGTCACTTGTCCTAGCTAATTGTTCTGGTTCCCATTTTGGAAGATTTAATTAATATTAGTGTATCTAGCTGCATTGACTTTAATACATCCAAAAATGTATAATGACGAGGGCGAGTTGATGAAAAATGCAACCTTATCAAATCCAAACTTAAATCCATTCCAAATTAAAACTATTGTTTTGCCTTTTATAGTTTTACGCTAAAAATTCTAGAACTAACTTGTAGGTAGACAGGTAGGTACCTGTAATCTGTATAATAATATATTAAATAATTATAATGTAAATAAATATATGTAATTGTATATATTTCATAAAAGCAGGGCTTGAAATCGTAAATATTTTTTTTCGATCTCGGTTTCGGATATCGGTATTTATTTTTTCTGATTTTGTTTTTGGTTTTGAATACCAGTTTTATATTTTTTGATTTCGATTTCGATTTTGTTTACCAGTATTGATTTTTTTCGATTTTGTTTTCGGTTTCGGTTTTTAACGGTTTAAATCGATATTCAAAATCGGTATCCAATATCGGTATCCAATATCGGTTTCAAGCCGTGCATAAAAGCTGTAACTACAGTCTACAACTCAACCTATCTTGAATACGTTTTAGTATGCTATTATGCTAAATAATATATTATTGAGGTAAAATTGATACTACCGAGTACCGATATAGTAGTTAAATGTATGACAACAATAATTTTATTATGATAATTATATGGATAATAAATAATTTTAAAAAAATAGGTACTCATGTCAGGATAAAACAAATAGGTACACCAAAAAAAATAATTTGAAAAAGTTGTTAGGTACGTTTAAAATGAATTTACTTTAAAACAATATTTATATTTTAAACAATAAACTACCTACTTACTTGATTTAAATAAACATTTTTATCATCAAAATGTGTCTTAAAATCAAATTTACAAATTGGTAGTTATTTTGAATTTTTCCAAAAAAAATTTAATAAAATGTTTACGATTAGTGTTTTAAAAAATAGTATACTGTACTTATATAGGGTCTAATGTCCATACATTATTAAATTATAACAACAAAATTTTTTCATTTATCGGGTGTTTCTGTTACAATTTGTAAAATGTAAATAAATAAATAAATCTCCATAGTCTAATCTAATGAGTAAAATTGTTGATGAGTGATACGTAAAGAGCTTGATAATAAATGTATATATAATTACATATGAAGGCTTTATTGCCTCTATAGTCTATTGTGATAGGTAAGTGATAACTTAATATTAATTGAGTAGTTAAAAAATTATACAGTATGTTTTGTAGTTTGTACTAACAATTACCTGCGGGAAAAAATATGGTCTAGGGGTGATATATCAATCAAATCATCCCCTAGGTACGTCACTGGCGTGAATATCCAATTTCGATGAAATTTTAACTTCAGACGCTATAAAAAATATTTATGGAATTACCCTCAACTTATTTTTTTAATTCCAGTAACAACAGTTTATATGAAACCTTACTTTAAATTTTTAAATTTTTGAAGATTTTTTTACCTGGTCATCAATGCAGGGCTGTAATGCTGCTATTGCTATATATAGGTTATAGGCTATAGTAATGGCCAATGGGCTATGGCATACTGCATTACTGACTACTGTTGTAGTACAGTACTACAGTGTATCGTATATGGCAGGGGTGGCGGCGAACCTTTTTTTGGGTTAAGTGCCAAATTTTTCACGTGCCCAAAGAAAATTATATTTTCTACCTATAACTTATAAGCATAAAAATAAAGTTACGGATTTATTAAATTCTTTTCCATCGTCCGTCAGTTTAAACGTGTCACGTATGTACTATATGTATGGCTGTTATCCTACATATTATCCTATTATAACCAAAATTTTATCTATATATTGTATACCTAATATAGCATAATTGTTTATAATTTTAATTTTTCGCGTGCCATTGAAATTTGACTAATGTGCCATCTT